TATGCAGCGTGAAATTGAGTAGTAAAACCGAAACATTTCATCTATTTCACAATTTGAACCACTTGTGTGGCTGTATATGTACGAGATAATAATAATTGTTTATTTTACTTATACTTATATTTACTTATGTTTTCAGAATCCAGTGCAGTCATGTTTGCAGATTTGACAGACTCCAACAAGAGTGACAGTGCAAACTTCGAAGCTCTCCTTGATGAAGTCATCACAGGCACAACGGCGGATTGTTGCAATCTTTTGGATTTATCACATTTCACGGAGTCGGATTTAGCATCCTCAACAGCCAGTTACCAATCAGAGTTATCGCCCCCTATGTGAAAGGGGTCAAAAGCGACGTCACTCGAGTGATACTGAACATTTGAAAATGAGGAAGAAATACAAAATGGCAGAAGTTGACAAGCATTCGTGGCTCCTCCCATCACTTGTATCAGTATGTCCAACTTCCAAAAACTGCATCTTCGGAAGAGATTCATAGACTGCTGCACCAGAAAGAGACTTGACACGAAAATATATTTGAGACGTGCTATGCTAGTAAAAGAAATTATATACATATCTATATGGTGCAAAGGACTATTTCAAACGTATGCTATAAACATAGTGCCAAATCTGTTTTATACATTTTTTACAAATGGGTTGCTTGTTTTATTGTTATCTAATTAAAAAAATGGATATATTGAGTTTTTGCTTTCTGTTCTACATTGAGTGAGAATGCAGACAAGTTGATTATCATCCCTTGATTTGCTGAATGGACAGTACACTAGAGGGCTATATCCCAAAACTTCCATATCCCAATACTACCACGCATTGTTTTGGGAGTTTTGGGAGGACACCCACAAAAGATCTGGTTGACATCACAGTGACACATCGTTATAAATACAGTATGCAGAGCTGATAAGGACCCGAGACTATGTATATGGTACCATGTATATTAGAAATCCCACCCCAAAACCCTCCACAAAAATCACAAACGTTTCCATTATTGATTTTAATGGAACCTAATCAACATATAATCCTGGTAGCTATGCCCACACAACATACTTTGGGCATAACTTTATTTAAGAGGCCACACATGAGACAACTTACAATGAATAGGATTAGATTTACCAGAACTTACAGAAATATCAAATAACGAAACTATGTTTCTTTCGTAACGAGGTATCTTAGAGTAGACTTGCTTCATGAATGCTGAATGTGCATTCGTTGTGGTATAACGAGTCACTCACACAATTGTGTATGATGAATTAAAATCTTATGTGATGCGGTTGAATTATCGGGTGTAATTCTCGTCATTGTCGCCTTCTCTTTGGAGTTGACGGTTACATAAAAGCTATTGCGGTGGTCAATATTCTACATACACGTAAACATTGTTCTCTGACATCAAAGATGACCCGCAAGTTACATGGCAATTTGCTGCAGCCTATTGCTTAGTCAACTATGCAACCATCGGTTACCATTGCAGTTGCGGCTAAGTCACGTATATTTGTGCATTAGATTGTTTACATAGATTTGCCCATGATGTATTAAGGCAGCATGTAAGGTATAAATTGGAATTCTATTAAACACACATCACAGCGTCAGCTACACACGTCACATGTGCCCAATATCACAGTAAATTTGCATTTATTTGTGTTGAAAGCGACATTGGAACGTGTATAAGTACAGATCGTGGACTGTATCCCTGAAATATATTCCCCGTGGTTACACAATTTGTATTTATTAGTAGTACTGTAGATGTAGGTATACGTGTCGCTGAAGCTTTATATGAAAATGTTTCTCGAGGTGTCAGATGAGCATGTAATTATTGAATGAACATCTGACATTTCCATGTATTGTCACGTTATGGGCACCTATCGCCAGAGTCTATTTAAAACTGCTTTAGCTAATCGAATAGTCAAAGCTATATATGTACTCCTCATGTCTCATGAAACAAAAATTGAGATCGCGGTTTCGGATCTCTATAATTTAAGATTTGGGTCTCACGACACTCTCAGCTTTCTTGATGTAAGATCAAGAAGCATGTGACATTACCTGATACATATCTTGATATTTACTTTGAGATTTCCTATATCATGACGTAGCTCTGTGAACCATGACATGATGGATGGAGTTTAAATGTATTTATAACAATTTTATCCAAAGCTAAAGGACCCGGACTCTTTTTACACGAATTGGACGTCTTACAACATTTTTAAAGCGGCACATCAAGCGTCACGGTCCCTCATTCTGAGACTTTATTATACTCATCTCCAGCGTATGCCCTGGCAGCAACATAGTTTACCGGCTTGTGAAAAAAGTTAACTCTGATATTCATTTTTCATGATATGGTGTTACGATTATTGTTGGGTTTGGAAACTGAAGACTTAATTGTACCTCATCTCCAGCGTATGCCCTGGCAGCAACATAGTTTACCGGCTTGTGAAAAAAGTTAACCCTGATATTCATTTTTCATGATATGGTGTTACGATTATTGTTGGGTTTGGAAACTGAAGACTTTATTGTACCTCATCTCCAGCGTATGCCCTGGCAGCAACATAGTTTACCGACTTGTGAAAAAAGTTAACCCTGATATTCATTTTTCATGATATGGTGTTACGATTATTGTTGGGTTTGGAAACTGAAGACTTTATTGTACCTCATCTCTAGCGTGTGCCCTGGCAGCAACATAGTTTACCGACTTGTGAAAAAAGTTAACCCTGATAATTCATTTTTCGTGATATGATGTTACGATTATTGTTGGGTTGGGAAACTGAAGACTTTATTGTACCTCATCTCCAGCGTATGCCCTGGCAGGAACATAGTTTACCGACTTGTGATAAAAGTTAACCCTGATAATTCATATTTCATGATATGATGTTACGATTATTGTTGGGTTGGGAAACTGTGAAACCTTTCACTATGTGTGTATTATTCTGCATAAATGTACCCGACTCATTACAAATGTACTTCAACCTTCAAATAAGAAGACGTAGATGTTGGCGTAAAATATAATGCACTTTATACATTATCTATGTATAACACATTAGTCAAATTAAATAAAAATGCGAAGCAATAGTGACTGCTATGCACCTCATATTGCATTGACATGCTACTCGATCGATTAACAGAGCGTAAGACTATAATACGTTTGCCATGGCGTTCTATACATTGGCCAATTGTTGTTTTTTTGCTTTAAAACAAAAACATTTACTTTGAAATATTGGCTTTCGTGTAATCTCGCATAATGTTGTGAATGACGTAATTTTATCTTAAGGTGTTTATTGGCCCTGCATTATTATGTCTACGAGCAACATTTATAACAATGTTTGTTCTTTTTAGTCCCTAACTTACCATCTGTTTGAAGTGCCATAAGACGGTCTGGGGGTATTTCTGTTATCGTAAAGCGCTAACGGATCATTATCTGGGTGTGGCGTTATACAATGCACGTCCAGGGGTATTTGTCTCACTCGGCGGTAAATTACACTGATCTTTGATCTTTCATCGAGTGTCAGACAATTGAATAAGAGTCCAATGCAATTCACACCACTCTGTAATGCGATGACAAGAAGGACTGTGTATTTTATCAAGATCAATCAGACATCACGGCATTTACCGTAAACAAGAACATCACATGTCATTGAATGATTACCGAATCTATTGACCACCAGTTTTATACAGTGTATTTGATTACCATCTTACAAACTATTCTGACTCAAATTAAAACATGCAAACAATCTAACGTTCACATGTTAGTTTCCCATGAGTAACATACTGGTGTCAACCCCAATATGTTTCTAAATTTGATTGTGTTATACATTGTGTTACTTATTATGAAATGAATCTCAGAATCACATCAAAGATGGCCCGCAAGTTACATGGCAACTTGCTGCATCCTGCACAGTTTAGTCATAAGAAGCTTTGATCAACCCCTCGAAAAGTATCTGCTATGTGAAATATTAATTTTGAGTCACTGCACTATTTGTCAAGCGGCTGTGTTAAGTGTACGGAAATAAAAACGGAAGAAGAACGTGAGTAATAATAAGTTGGAAAAGAATGCTCAATAAATTCGTCTAAAAATGGCTTATGCGTTTCTTTTATGGAAGAGTATATTAGAGGCAAAACCGTTTCCATAATCATAAGAAGTGCGTTCTGACTATATTATCATACATTTGTGTTTTGGAACTGGCAGCACATTGTCTTTGCATCTGTATACAGACTATATAATTCCCCTGAACAAATAGGCCACTAGAAGTATTAACTTGGACAACTTTACATTAAAAATCCTTTTACAGTGTGTATTGTCAGAGATGAAGGACTTGTGAGGATATTTTCTTAACATGTATAGTCTTGCGATCAGGTTACCGGAACTGTAGTAATCCATAAACAAAAAAATCAACAATAATTTCTGAAATTCATAAACCTCTCCTATATAGGATGTTTGGCGATTCTAGCTTATAAAATGTTTTTTCTGATCAAATGAACGGGAATTTACTGAAAGGTGCAGGCAGGAAATAAATGCAAATTTTGTCATCTCATGAGATAACATCACGTCATTATTCATAATATATTTATAAGCCATGCTGGTGTATTTTCGAAACAACGTGTTATATCATCCTCATAGGATATCCTTCTTGGTTTCAGAATACAAAATTAATGCTAATTACATAATACATGATAATTCCCATAACCAGGTAACGCCAACACAATTCACAACACATGATCGCTTGTTCACAACATTACATATTTCTCGGATTGTGAACAAATGCATATTACAATACATGCTTAAAGTTTTTGAATTTATTAAATTTTCAAACATCTGTGTGCTATGGAAGAACATAAAAAAATGTTTTCACAGTACTGTTTCATACAGCTCATGTTACACCCAACGTAGTAAAGTTCTCCGTGTATACGATGCGCCTATGTTCTTTTGTTTTTGAACCGTTCATGTTTTTTCGTCACTCTAGAAGACAGACAGACAGACAGATTATTAAGTCTCACCCCTGTTATACATATATACAAACTAATTTAACATATGTTTACATAAGGGCCATTACATACGGAATTATGAGAGACTAATATTCTTAAAAAATTGCATGTACATGTATTATGAGTAACAATAATTAAAAGTTATATATGCGGATTTTCTCCTTTTTAAAATAACATGGCAGGTTTTGGCAGCTATAAAACAGATATTGCTATTGGTCAGGATAAAAGCAGCTTTTTGTATATCAGTAAAATTACTAAAATTTTAGCACGACGTGATGATAAGACAGAAAGCCTGTCCGATCGGCGGCCATCGTGACCATGTCGCCAAGTCGCTGCAACGTGCTGTTCATTGTTGCATTGTGAGGTTGCCAGAACCAAAGATCGTGGAATTTAATTACGATTCACCCCAATAGTTGCTAGCTTTGTCAACACCATGTCCTTCCGTACTTGTGGGATTCAAAATATGAGACCAACGTCACCAAACCGACACGCCGCGATAGAACTGAAATACTGTTCAAAGCGTCATTAACTAAACCCATTCACTCACCCGTCCCACTAACGTGTCTTCCGATCCTGTCAGTTTCACGGTCGTCAAGGCCGGTTTCATTTTGTTTTCATGTACCAACGCTGTGATCAGGCCCCGTGACTTGGTAGATTGTGAGTGTTCAGATAACATGGGTACCACATGGGTAGTTGCGCACTCTTTAGCTGGGTTGAATTCCATTATTTGTTTATTTGTCCATCTTTAGAGAACGAAGGGAAACAATTTATACACAGATATTACTACACTGGACCCAATGTGTAAAAAATGAATTTACTGTTCAATAATCCATGATTCGGACATTGAAAACGTTGTCCAAATTTCGCATGTCCATTGACACCCTAGTAATTACTTCTGATGCACAGCTTGCATACATGGAACACGAAGATGCACGTTAAAGCAAGTTTGTCCTTTCTACATAGTAGCAGTATTGGCAACAACATTCAAGCTGTGACGGCCGTCATAAATATAGAAGGGCTTAGTGACAAAACCATCATACTTTTGTATGGTCATAAAGTATAAATTTCAAGTTAATCCATAGTTTAGCAATGAATGTTGAAATACATACCGAGTATCATTGAAAGGTACTACAAGATAATTAATAAACAACTAGCTATATTTTGTCAAAAGTCCGACGTCTTATTTCCTTACCATTTAGGCCACACATTGTTCGAGTAAATGAAATATCATTAAATTTTTTAAAATGGCCACAGTGTTATTTCATCGGGATGCACAGAGGTATAATTAAAGTGCAGCTTCTGATAAATCTCAAAAAGAATATTTCATTGTTACGTAATCCCATTTATAACAATTGGGCTACCACTGTACTTTCAGGGACGGTTAATTACGGACCGGGATGACCATTACGATTGCACCAATGATGTCATAAAAGACCTAAACGTAAGCATCATTTACCATCTGTCGTTTCATTCAAAGAAGGACCGCCAATAGCGATGAACACGGAGACAAAAAGCTAATCCTGGGTAGCCCTCCGCCCCTAACCTTGACATTTTGTGTAAATTAGTCATAATTGAATTTCCCCTTAATCCGCGGTTGGACTTCTCTGCCCCGACGAATGTCCCCTGGGGTCATATGGTCAGTCAGTTGTGACACGTGATGATAATGTCCAGGTAAGGTGTACATCCTGTTATTAATTCGTTCGACTCATGAATAGCCACTTGTACCAGCAGAAATAGAACCCAGGTGAAAGATGGCTCTTGTTATTGTAATTAGGGACGTGGCGCCTCGGAGGTCTTTAGTTCAAAGTGTGACCGGTGCTATTATGGGAACAATGCCTTCTTTAAAATCTCTAACTAAGTAACGTAATGATGTTTTCATTGCCTTTACTGCTTTTGTTTGAAAATATAGCTGTCGATATGTTGAGCATTAAGGGTATTGCTGCTTCTCCGAAAAAGCGGGACAACATTTAGCTTTTGAAATATTCAACAATATCTTGGTGAATTGTTCTTTTCATATGTTTTAGTACATTATAGAAAAGATCTAAGAGAATTGCTACGTTTTGTAGATTTAGTAAATGGATTTCAGACTTGCTTGGTGGTTACCAGATTCTGTATGAAAGACAACACTAAACTTAACCCTATTTCCCGATTTAATTGTTTTTATCCATTTACTATTAAATATTGCAATGAACAAAATCGTCGCGATGTTCACAATTATATCTTTATATTTTGTTTTTGAATGAATGTTACTAGCAGTTTGTCTAATCATAGAATTAAATGCAAGAGGAAGAAATATATTCTATTATGTTGTAAGGGGACGATTTGCAAACATATATACACCCACACGCACACACACACAAAAAAACCCCACTGATATGCTAAAACAGCATCCAGCCATCAGGCCTAAGAGACATTAGAGTCTACATAAAGTATATTTGTTGTGTGTCTGGAAAGATGACGTCAATTTAGCTTTGACATCAAACTATTGAAAAAAGATAGCGAAAGTGTCAATGTCTGGGAGGTTTACTCCAATACACATGTATAAACAGAGTACATCATAAGATGATTGATGATCCGATAATGGCTCGCACACCAACACAGCAAATACCTCCGGGGTATTGTTTATGTCCTCCCACTGACAAGCGACACCCTGGGGCGAGGCGTTGCTCCGTGTCAATTCGGTAATCACTTGACACTTTGGCTCTCCTCACGTTACAATTAACGGCGTCGCGTCTCGCGTCTTATCAGTCGGCGTCTGATTGGTTGTTTAGGATTAGTGTCGCGTGATTTGATTGGTTCATGTACAGCGTCGCGCTGCCTATATGTTCTGTATGAGCTGAGTTAGGGCATCATTCCCTTCTGTCACTCTCACCATGTTGGACGTACCTTCCCACCTTCTTCAACCGCTGTGTATCAACACCAACATCACATACGAGTTGGATACGTCCATGTTCCCAGGTCTGGATGACCCACAACAGATGTACCAACCGGCTCTGTTGATAGCCACTGACTGGAGCGACTACCTCTACCATGACGACCAGTGTGTCACAAATGACACAGACTGTTTTTCAAGTTCACATGAATCGGACAGTAGTTTAGAAAGTGACTTATATTCTCTTATAGGTATGTATATTGTTTATGTATATGTGTATTGAGTAATAGTTCTCTCCATGTAAATGTAATGAATATGAAAAGATTTTTTGTTGCCTTTATGTGATTAATCATGTGCTCTCATATAATTATGAAATTGGTATGATAAACACAATTAAAACAAATCGCTAATGAACCGTACCTTTTTTTACAGAATCCACTGATTCCTTTTTCACGGACCAGAATTTATCTGTCGATGACATAACGCTGCAGACACTCCTCGATGACGTCATTGCAGATTCTGTGATACCAGATGACATATTTGGATTAGTGGACATCCATGCTGATACTCTCAGTGATCTTCCAACAAGTGATTCTCCACAAGCAGAAACTACTGCTCCAAACGCCGGATTAACCTGTGCTGTAGACACTGAAGAAGTACACCCTGTCATAACTTGTGGCAGGGGTCAGAAAAGACGTCTCTGTGATGATCTCTGTTACCCACATACTGACAAAAGATCAAAGATGGAGTCATTTACTCAAGTCTTACCTTGTCTTGTGAATTTTTCCCACGGATCAAAGAATGGTGAAATGGACAGAGAGTCATAGAGTCTCAAATGGAACACAAAAAGACATCTTCTTAAAAAACAATCCATTGTGCTATCCAGACTATGACATGACACAAGCATGTGTTGAGTAACAAATATGAGAAAGAAGATACAAAATGCGAACAGCAGCATTGTATAACAATGGAACACTACTTCATTGTAAACGAACATGGGTGAATGAAACTTGAATGACTGAATCACGTAAAAATGACATTGTGCAATAATCGAAAGCGATTTGTTGAAGACTACATTGTTTATATATACAATACAAGCATCAATTGTGCCATAATATTGTTGACATATTTACATTTGTTGATTTGATGATGTTGTTAATTTTGTTTTTTTTAATAAACCCGATTTCTTGACAACGTGTATCTGTTGTTTTGCTGGTTCTATCAAAGGGAAACAAGGGTGGACATTGCATATACTTTGATTCATTTCGAATACAGTCTGGCGCAGTTCGTCTCGAACATGGATGTTATCAGGGATCCAAAGCTATTTGATCTTATGTGACAGGTACACGTGTTTCCCACTGGCCTGCCATCATTAACTACGAACATTATACATTATACACATACTTAGACCAAGCACTTGAGATATACATGCTGGGTAATGTGGAATACTTGTCTAAACGACACATAATAATGTGTCATCTGCAAAATTGAATAGGGATATTACATAGCAGCGTTCGAAATTGACGTCTGAAAACCACTCAGACCCACAGCTTTTGTTTTCTGCAGGTCTTACTTATATTGTAGCTTAAAAGTAGGGCCTACACTTTCTGACCAGGACCCACAACTTATTATGGTTTTGGGTCCGTCCTTAGGGCCTGCAGCTTTTCAGGGCTAAGGGAAAACTTAGGCTTAGGACATTTAAGCGCACACTTTCTTCTTGTCCCAAGAGACAAGGAATAGTAAGTCTCTGAATCTTCAAAATATACATGATGGCATGGGTACCCCGATTCGTCCATGGTTCTTTGAGCAAAGTCTGGTAATGAAATATGTGATGAAGGATTTGATGGAAGGTTTTACCCGGTAATGTCAATAGGTTTGTCAGCACCTTGCTCGTGTTTCTTCATTTTGTCCAACTTCTACTGAAACCAGCTTTCTCCTCTTTTTAAACGCATACGTCGCAAGGAGAACCTTTTTGGACATCCCTCTGTTTAAAAGTAATATAAACGTAACATATTACAAAGTGTAATTTCAGTAGTACACACACGTGTGTGTGTGTGTGTGTGTGTGCTATTAATGATAATAGCGATTAAGATAATTTGGAGATTTAACGTGCGCTTTCCGGCATAATGCGTATTTCGTACACGGGTCATTTTGTGTTTGATTGAAATATATGGCAACCTGAAGAGGGCGTTAGGGTTGCAGAATAAACGTTGTAACGGTTTGTTCACAAGTCGCTATTCTTTCAATAAAAAGTATTTTTAGAGATCATA